TATGAAGGAAAGTCTTGGAGGAAGTTAATGGAAGACAAATACTGTAGCTTACAATGTGCTGCTTCAAGAATAAAGTTGTACAGAATTTAAAGATTCACTAAACTTGTGAAAAATACAAAGGCAAGTTTTCAATATTTCTTGTTTTCTCTTTTGCCGTTTCTAAAATTTTGTAAAATCCTCTAAGCAAAAAAATTTATTTTTTAAAAAAAATCCCATATGAGTAAAATAAATTATATGAAACTGACAATTTGGAACGTGTAAAGCTCAAAATCAGCACAGAAAATCCCTTCAGTTTTAGCGCTTATTTTTTTGTTATTCAACACAAGAATACTTTCAGTCGAGATACACCGGAGCTTAAAGGTTTGAAGACGACCCGAAGAGTCATTGTCTGGTTATTACATGGAAACCAGTTTAATAAAATTGACATTTTAAAACTTTCGTAACTATAGCCATGCTCCAGTAATTGCTCTGAATACAACAATTCGAGTTTTTCTTAATTTCACCGTAATGTCGAATCAGCACCTGCAGAAGAAGGTAACGTACCAGAGCTTCATCCTTCTGATGGAATGCATCAGCCTTAATATTTTGAAATTGATAAGACTAGGGCTGTATGACCCTTGTGGGATTAGTGCTTCGTTCTGAGGATAATAATAATAATAATAATAATAATAATAATAATAATAATAATAATAATAATAATAATAAGACGAGGAATTTTTAATAAAGGAATACAAGTCAATATCACCATATATTTAATAAGATAGACTTGAACTTATTAGACATTTAACGACGCAACCCTAACTTTCTGTACCACAGACCAGCTGATCGGAAGAGTCATTCTCCAGTTAAAACAGATTTCAACGATTCCAGGTTTTTATATACTGGTTTAGAATGTTGGAAAACTTACCAGTTCACAAAATAAACTTAATGGGTAATATCCTGACCATAAGGTTAGGCCAGGAAACAGGACAAGTGTTTCCTGACACAGGTCTTAGTCATATGATAACCCACCACTGGAGTTTTTGGTCATCTGACCGAGGCCTTCTACTGGCTTACCCTTTAAAAATTAACGCATCGGTCATTCAGCAGAGGTAAACTCGAATATTTTAAACGTGTTTTAATGGAAGTAAAAAAATCTTATAATTTTGCACACAAACCTACAGTACCTTGGTGGGAAAATTCACACACAAACCTACAATACCTTGGTGGAGGAAACCAAACTCACCTGACAACAAAAACCTACAATACCTTGGTGGAAAAATTCACACACAAACCTACAATACCATGGTGGAACAATTCACACAGAAATCTACAATACCTTGATAGAATAATTCACACACAAACCTACAATACCTTGGGGGACCAATTCACGCACAAACCTACAATACCTTGGTGGACCAATTCACACACAAACCTACAATACCTTGGTGGAGCAATTCACACACAAACCTACAATACCTTGGTGGAACAATTCACACACAAACCTGCAATACCTTGGTGGAAAAATTCACACACAAACCTACAATACCTTGGTGGAAAAATTCACACACAAATCTACAATACCTTGATGGAACAATTCACACACAAACCTACAATACCTTGGTGGAACAATTCACACACAAACCTACAATACCTTGGTGAAACAATTCACACACAAACCTACAATACCTTAGTGGAACAATTCACACACAAACCTACAATACCTTGGTGGAACAATTCACACACAAACCTACAATACCTTGGGGGACCAATTCACACAGAAACCTACAATACCTTGGTGGAACAATTCACACACAAACCTACAATACCTTAGTGGAACAATTCACACACAAACCTACAATACCATGGTGGAACAATTCACACACAAACCTACAATACCTTGGTGGAAAAATTCACACACAAACCTACAATACCATTTGGGGGAACAATTCACACACAAACCTACAATTTCCTTGGGGGACAATTCACACAGAAACCTACAATACCTTGGTGGGACAATTCACACACAAACCTACAATACCTTGGTGGAAAAATTCACACACAAACCTACAATACCATGGTGGAACAATTCACACACAAACCTACAATACCTTGATGGAACAATTCACACACAAACCTACAATACCTTGGTGGAACAATTCACACAAACCTACAATACCTTGGTGGAACAATTCACACACAAACCTACAATACCTTGGTGGAACAATTCACATCCGACCAACAATGCTGTAGAGCACCTTCCAGTTGGTCCTGGACCAGATGCGCACCTATACACCCGCATTTCTCTCTCCTCCGTCGTAGCCCAATTAGGAGGCATCTTTTTTGAACACTTGAAGCTAAGCAGCAGAGGATTTTGCAAGTTATCGGAGCCGCTGAAGGATGCTGGGGATGAGCCCTATAACTTTGGTCATAGGGCACGTGAACAGGCCACTTGTTCCTCGAATTTTGCCCTTGTTACCGTACATCAGCATTGAAAATTTGAAGCCGATCAGACGAGGCGTTCTCATGATACGAGAGAAATAAAAAAAACTTGAAGAATGATGAAAAAAATTCAGGCAACTACTTAAAAATCTTTCATTGGGGGATACTTCATTATTCCAGCTGGGATACCTCATTATTCCAGCTGGGATACCTCATTATTCCAGCTGGGATACCTCATTATTCCAGTTAGGATACCTCAGTAATCCAGCTGGGATACTTCATTATTCCAGCTGAGATACCTCAGTAATTCAGCTGGGATACCTCAGTAATTCAGCTGGGATACCGCAGTATTGCAGCTGGGATACCGCAGTATTCCAACTAGGAGGCCTCAGTAATCCAGCTGGGATACCTCATTATTCCAGCTGGGATACCTCAGTAATTAAGCTGGGATACCTCAGTACCAGTACCAGTTCGTCCCTGCCCTCGGTGCGGTACAGACTGATCAACCCTGGTATGATTATTTCTTTGGTGGCGATTAATCTGCTTGTCGATTACTTTTAATCTGCTTGTCGATTACTTTTAAAGTCATTGCTGATCTCCCGCTAATTACCCTCCTGTTTGTCACCTACGTCGCCGTAATTACATTTCCGGCTACGGTGAGAACGCCTTTGATTAATTATTGACTCCGCAACATTTACTCGAAATTACAGAGCCATGGACGGTAGCTGTAGCACTTTTTGTAGTCTCGTGTGTATTTTGTAATCTCTGGTGAACTGTTGTAGTACATTATGTGTATATTCCGTAGCCTCTGGTGTACATTTCGTAGCCCCTCCTGTACATTTTGTAGCCTCTCTCCTGTACATTTTGTAGCCTCTCTCCTGTACATTTTGTAGCCTCTCTCCTGTACATTTTGTAGCCTCTCTCCTGTACATTTTGTAGCTTATTGCAGACCTTCAGAATTTCAAGAAGTTCCCTTGGTGGCGATGAAGGTCTCTTAATCCCCGTTCCCTTCCCCAGGCGCTCTATGACTCTTAGGGGTTTAGCGTTTCCAAACGATATTGGAAATAAATTAATGCCAATAATATAAATAATAATAGTGAAAAAGAAGACAGTATTGGAAGAGCAAAGCTTTATTTAAGCTCTAAGTTGATAAAAGCTCTACTTAGAGCGAAACTTTTGTAAATAAAGATTTACCTTACACATGACGTAAGGTAGATCACGAAATTAAAGACTAAATGAATGAAAGAAATTGTGGAAGCTCCAAGGACACTTTTATTATTAATAATATTTGTGTGTGTGTTTGTAACCAACCAGTATTGTGTGTGTGTGTGTGTATGTGTATGTTTGTAAGCAAACATTTTTGTGTGCGCGCGCGCGCGTAAACAACTATTATTGTGTGTGTATTTGTTCAAGAACAGCTTAGTTGTGTGTTATTATCAGTGTAGAAAACTTGGGTATCTTTGTGTAACTTTTGTCCAACTAGTGACTTCAGCAGTCCAATACCAATATAGAGAAAAACGATGGGAGATATAAAGAGGAAGTTTGAGGTAATCAGTCCCTCAGCCTTCTTAGCAGTAGAGTATATGCCCGGGAAAAGGGATATACTGGATATAGGTATCCAGTATATTTGTATCACGTATATGTCGTGCCGAATAGGTAAAACTGGTCAATTAGCAAGCACTCATTTAAAATTAGGTCCTTTCTAAAATTTTCTCTTATATGTTTAAATATATATTTTTTCATTTATGTTAATGTAAAAATTAATAATTTTGTACCAAAAGAACCTTGGAAAACTTACCTAACCTTATTATAACAAACGCAATTTAATTTAGCCTAATCCAACTAAATATATTTTTGCTGAATTTACAGTAATTTAATAATAACCAAACACAATTAAATAATATATTTTTTCGTTACTTTCAGAACGATTTTTGCGAAATTATTGCTTACATAAGTTTTAGCTTGCTTTATTCGCGAAGAGCGTTGCTATTTAAGCCAAAATTGCAGATTTTACCCATTCGGCACGACATATACATACCCTTTTCCTATGCATATACTGTACGTTCATCAAGGCAGTTGAACCAAACACATCATCTCCATGCTGAGGGACTGATTGCCTCGGTCTTCTCTTTACATTTTTGATCGTTTATCTCTTCTTGGACTGATACGGCCACTGCTTGGCGAAACGTTTCCACAGTCAACACTAGTAAGTATTAGCAATAATGGTAGAATTACCTACAAAATGTTATGTAAAAGGACACAGATGCAACTAATGTGACATCTTATTGTGGCAACGTACGTTGCCACAATAAGATATCGGATTAGTTGCACTTGTATCCTTTTACTTAACACACGCAAATGTTGCACAAGTGTCGTATTCTTCTACTTGTCGGTTGTCCAAACCTTCTAAATAATAATGCTACTCACCACCTTTTTTTAGATTGAAAAATAAACACCCATTTCCCAAGAGGTCAGAGTGCGCCTCCCAAGTCGCGTTGAGGAAGAAAAAAGCATTAAGGAGCACTGCCGCAGGTCTTTTTCAAGCCCAACCCTTCTCATATATTTATTCCTTGTGACAGGTAGTTGGAGGATGAGGATGGCCGCTGTGGAGGTGGGCAAGACAACAGGCAGCCATGAGTGTGGTGGCTGTGGCAAGAGAATCAACGACCGCTACCTGCTCAAGGCTGTCGACCTGTACTGGCACGAGGACTGTCTCAAGTGTGGCTGCTGTGACTGTAGGCTGGGTGAGGTGGGATCCACACTCTACAAAAAGGCTAACCTCCTCCTCTGTAAGCGCGACTATCTCAGGTAAGTGTCTCCCTCCCCTGCTACTTGCGATATCTGCGCTACTTGTGACTTACATCCCATGCAGGCGGTATCGTAAGATGTCGAAAGATCCAAAAGATGTTATAAATATCGTTCGAAGAGGGGCCTGTAGTTAGACTGAGATATTCGCGTTTTTTTCTGTTCCGTTGAATGTGTGTGTAATATGCACACGCAGACACACACACACACACACACACACACACACACACACACACACACACACACACACACACACACACACACAAAACTGTGACATAGCAACAAGATCTCAGTGAGATTTGCTGCATGTTTTGACATACCTCAAATTCCTAAAGCAATATCCGCATAAGAGAAGCGTCACTGACAAAAACCACTCTTAAAACCTACCTGAAATGATCAGGTCATTTAAGTTTTTTAACCCGCCTCTTTTTTCTCTCTACCCACAACCTCTTCCACTGTAATCCTTCCCCCTTCACATTTCTGTTATCCCTATTAAAGGCCTGGCGTAAAAAAACATAAACAACACTGACGTTATATTTCATAGCGACTGCTGCTACAGCAGCTACTGTGAAGCTGGTGATGGTGGCGGCGGCGGCGGCGGCGGCGGCGGCGGCGGCGGCGGCGGCGGCGGCGGCTGGGCTGCTGCTGCTGCTGCTGCTGTTGCTGCTGCTGTTGCTGTTGTTGTTGTTGTTGTTTATGATGATTTTGTGGTACTTGAATGACTAATCTCTCTCGACTTGTCTAATTAATTAGGAAGAGAATCACCTTGGCCATACAGACCTCATATTAGGTTGTTATTGTTGTTGTTAGTGTGGAGTGTGGTGGTGTGAGGCTGTTGCTGCTGTTAGTGTGAGGCTCTTACTGTTAGTGTGAGGCTCTTACTGTTAGTGTGAGGCTCTTACTGTTAGTGTGAGGCTCTTACTGTTGTTAGTTAGCGAGAGGATCTTACTGTTAGTGTAAGACTCTTACTGTTGTTTGTGTGAAGCTGTTACTGCTGTTAGCATGAGGCTCTAACTGTTAGTGTGAGGACCTTACTGTTAACGTGAGGCTCTTACTGTTGTTAGTGTGAGGCTCTTACTGTTAGTGTGAGGCTCTTACTGTTAGTGTGAGGCTCTTACTGTTAGTGTGAGGCTCTTACTGTTATCGTGAGGCTTTTGCTGTTAATGCGAGGCTTTTACTGTTGTTAGTGTGAAGCTTTTACTGTTATCGTGATGCTCTTGCTGTTAACGTGAGGCTCTTGCTGTTAGTGTGAGACTGTTACTGTTGTTAGTGTGAGGCTCTTACTGTTAGTGACACTTCTGTTAGTGTGACGCTGTTACTGTTAGTATAAGGCTCTTACTGTTAGTGTGACACTGTTACTGCTGTTGTTAGTGTGGAGTGAACGCTCAACGAGACTTGTTCTTGTTTTGCTTTAGTTAGATAGGATGGATCGCTGCTCAGGTGACGGGACACAAAGTTTTTAATTAGGCTGCAGGTAGGATCAGAAGAGAGGAAGATGCAGGGAGAAGAGGGAAGGGAGGAACAGGGAGAAGAGGAGAGGGAGGAACAGGGAGAAGAGGAGAGGGAGGAACATGGTGACGAGAGGGGAGAGAAGCAGAGAAACGAAGGAAGAGGAGGAACTGAGGGGGAAGAAAATCAGGAAAAGAAAGGAAAAATCGAGGGATAAATATGGGAGAGGGGGGGAGGGAGTAAAGGAAAAATGGAGCACGGACTAGAGAATAAGGAATGAGGGAGTGTGGGAAAAGGAGGATGTGATGGAGTACAAGAAAAACATGAAGCTTAGGTAAGCAGTACAAATATTCTGTTACCTTAGTTGAGGTGTTGTCAATCATGTCTAGTGGTGGGGGGGGGGGGTGTTTAAGTGGGTGGGGTTTGTGAGTGTTGGTGGGGTGTTGGTGGGGGTCGGAGTTAATCTTAATGAGGAGGAAGCAGTAATTCACTTTGGATAACAAAGAGAAAGAGAAAGAGAGAGAGAGAGAGAGAGAGAGAGGAGAGAGAGAGAGATTCTTTACAAGCTTCTCGTGCCTCCCCTCAATATTATTAGCACATGTACGTTGTTACACATCAATATATATATATATATATATATATTATATATATTATTATATATATATTATATATATATTATATATATATATATATGCAATAAGATCACAGTAAACAGGTGATTTCAGAATATGCAAAACAACCACTGTGAAAGAATAGAGAAGTTCCAAGCGCTTTCGTGACTACTCACATTATCAAGGAACAATGAAAGTAAAGCATCAAAGGAAGGTATATAAAGGGGTAGCCCACACCTCACTATCAGATCCCACAACAACGAAACACCTGACGCGAGACAGAAGGCCCGCCGGCCGAACTAGACAGGTCCTTCATACAACCCACCAACAAACTTTTCTACCCAAGAAATAAAAAATTAAAAAAAATTATTGTTTGTCCAATGTATTATTAAATTCTTCCCAAATTCTATTAATTATAAATGGATCTAATTTATGTAAACCAAAGGAAACATTCATATTATTGTCAAAACTGCTTTTTATGAAACAAGATTCAATTATATTCCTGTCGACCATGGACTTGCTTGATACTACTTTCTCAACTTTTTGAAAATCAATTGGATGGTTAAAATCTCTTACATGAATAAATAGAGCATTGGAATCTTGTCCAGTTCTAATGCTATATTTATGTTGTTTTAATCTTAGTTCGAGATTTTTACCAGTTTGACCGTAATAAACTTTATCGCAAATTTTACAAGGAATCTTATAGACACATCCATCAGCATTTTGGCGGAAATTCTTTATCAAAAGTTTTTTTTACTGTATCAAGATTTTTGAATACAACTTTAATATTAAAAGTCTTAAGAAGAGAAGGCATATCAACCAAGTTTTCATGGTAAGGGAGAACCAACATATTTTTAGTTGAATAAGGCTGGTTGTCCCTTTCTGGATTGTAAAAAGTATTTCTAGCAACTTTAAAAGATTTATCAATTACATTTCTTGGGTATATTAAATCATTACCTATTTCATAAATTTTGGATATTTCCTCATCTATGAACTCAGGACTACAAATTCGTAAAGCTCTCAAAAACATTGATGAGAAAACAGACAGTTTAACTCTGTCTTGATGGGAAGAATAATAGTGGACATAGGAACAGTTATTTGTAGGTTTTCTGTAAATTTTAAATTTGAATTCATTATTATCCTTAATAATTAAAACATCTAGAAAAGGCAATGAGTTATTTTCTTCAAATTCAACAGTAAAAATTATAGAATGGGCTAAGCTATTTAATTTGCCAAGGAAATGGTGTATATATATAATGTCGTGCCGAATAGGCAGAACTTGGGATCTTGGCTTAAATAGCAACGTTCATTTTGCCATATAGGACGAGTGAAAATTTGTGTATGCAATAATTTCACCAAAATCATTCTGAACGTAACGAAAAAAATATATTTCACTGTGTTTGTTTAGTAGTAAATTACTGTAAAACAAATCTAAAATATATTTAGTTGGGTTAGGCTAAAATAAATTGCTCTTGTTATAATAAGGTTAGGTAAGTTTTCTAAGATTCTTTTGGTACAAAACTAAAAATTTTTACATTAACATTAATGAAAAAAATTTATCTTTAAACGTATAAATGAAAATTTCAGAAAAGACTTAATTTTAAATGAGTTCTTGCTAATTGACCAGTTTTACATATTCGGCACGACATTATATATATATATATATATATATATATATATATAATATATATATATATATATATATATATATATATATATATATATTATATCGTGCTGAATAGGTAAAATTGGTCAATTAGCAAGACCTCAATTAAAATTAAGTCCTTTCCAAAATTTTCTCTTATACGTTTAAAGATGTATATAGATTTTTTCATTTATGTTAATGTAAAAATTAATAGCTTTGTACCAAAAGTACCTTAGAAAATTTACCTAACCTTATTATAACAAGCGCAATTTAATTTAGCCTAATCCAACTAAATATATTTGACATAAGTTTACAATAATTTAATAATAACCAAACACAATGAAAGACTTTTTTTTTCGTTAGATTTAGAATGATTTTTGCGAAATTATTGCATATTAGCTCAAGTACCTTCACACTTCTCAGTGCGTCATCATGAGCTATGCAATGTTGCAAGGTAGCAACTAAAGCAGGGGAAGTTTTGTCATGTTGCAAGGTAGCAACTAAAGCAGGGGAAGTTTTGTCAGAGTAGCGCAGTGCGGGTCTGTTACTGACTGCAAGTTCTCTCCCTTCATTCTGAGAGAACCTGCGGTCGGTGACAGACCCGCACTGCGCTACTCAGGAAACTTCCCTTGCTTTAGTTGCTACCTTGCAACATTGCATAGCTCTGGATGACGCATTGAGAAGTGTGAAAGTACTTGAGCTAAAGATTTCCACCCTCTTGTTTTGTGTGTGTGTGTGTGTGTGTGTGTGTGTGTGTGTGTGTTATAAATATATATATATATATATATATATATATATATATAATATATATATTTATATATATATATATATTTAACAAGTCGGCCGTCTCCCACCGAGGCAGGGTGACCCAAAAAGAAAGAAAATACTTTCATCATTCATCACTTTCACCTCACTCACACAAAATCACTGTTTTTGCAGAGGTGCTCAGAACACAACAGTTTAGAAGTATATACGTATAAAGATACACAACATATCCATCCAGACTGCCAATATCCTAAACCCCTCCTTTAAAGTGCAGGCATTGTACTTCCCATTTCCAGGACTCAAGTCCGGCTATATAAAATAACCGGTTTCCCTAAATCCCTTCACTAAATATTACTCTGCTCACACTCCAACAGCTCGTCAGGTCCCAAATACCGTTAGTCTCCATTCACTCCTAACACGCTCACGCACGCTTGCTGGAAGTCCAAGCCCCTCGCCCACAAAACCTCTTTTACCCCCTCCCTCCAACCTTTTCGAGGACGACCCCTACCCCACCTTCCTTCCCCTACAGATTT